AAAAAATTGTTATATATATTGTGGAACCACACAATTTGATTTTACAAATATGTGTAACGAAACATCTGTTGATGATTTGTCAAAAATTAAAATAAAAAACATTTGTTCCAATAAAGTGTTAGGTACGGTATGCGTTAAGTTTCGAGATTTTATTACCGAAATTGTTGATGGTATTGTTGTATTTTCTAATAACGTAATGAATATGTCAACCAACTTAGATGATTATACTACATTATTAGATAATGATTTTAATGCGATATCATATATTGATAATTTTGTATTAGATTACGACAAAATACATTTAAAATACATTTAAAATCGATTAAGTATTTTAGAAATACCCAAGCGTATACAATAAGATTAAATTTTTTTATTATTTAAATTTATAAATTGACTTTTTTTTATTTCCATCCAAGATTTTGTCCGATGGAAGAAGATAAAAACTACTAGTCACGTACCACGAAATATCAGCTTTTGTTAAAGAACTTTTTGTTGATAATGACGAAGTATCTGCATTAACGGTTAACATCGGCGTCGCCAATTTAGAATCTAAGACACACCAACCAAAGGTTGTGCTAACTTGCAAAAACTTAAAATCATATTGTTTCTTTATGATAGACTCTGGCTCCCGGTAAATCTTGTAAAAACGGGAATACTAAAAGATATCCGTGTAGACACAAATGATAAATTGAGCTTGAAAGGAATTACGAAAAAACCAATTAAAACATTAGGCTCTACTGCATTCGAGATAATGGGAAAACTTACAAAATTTTATGTCGTCAGAAACGACTTCGGTATCCCGGCTGACGGTATATTAGGCGCGAATTTCTTAAAGGCTAATAACGCCATCGTAAATTATCAACACGAATGCCTAATATTTGAAAATATACAAGTACCGTTTTATAAAAACGAAAGGATTATGATGCCGTCGCGTACCATCGTTGACATAGCGTTCGAATCCGAAAAAAGAGGAAGGATACATACCCCGGAATGAACCAGTTAAGGCTTTGTTCTTAGGCGAAGCTTTAGTCAAGAATTCCAAAGGAAAGGGGCATATCAAAGCCTACAACTTGACGGAACGGAATTTCGCCATCGAAGTAAATCCGATGCCTCTCGAGGATTATTTCGTACCAAGTGACTTCAAGAAGTACCTCAAATTAAATTCTAATTCTATGAGCCAAGGAGAGCTCTCCAATGATGGGAAATCTTCACATTCTGAATCTATGAGCCAAAAGGAGCTCTCCAAAAATGGGAAATCCTCATACTCTAACTTATTGAACTCTGAGGAGTTTTCTTATTCAACCAACTCTGCTAAGCCTCCCGCTTCCAGGGACCTGATGGAGTCCTCTATGAGCCAAGGAGAGCTCTCCGATCAAGGGAAATCTTCAAAATTATTGAACACTCTGCTGGTACAACCGAACTAGGGAAATATATCAATTACACAAAATGCACCACCAGCATCTTCACGCTTTAAGAAATCCGTCGACGCGCTTCCAGGGTCGACAGATCTTGAGGACCTTCCAAATCCGAACAACACGTTTACTGTATCACCAGACCCGAGGGTCTCTTCCGAAATTTTAGACGCCCCATTAGCGTCTCCCAGCTGTATAAAACAGCTTAAGGCTCTCATAGGTACAGAGCATTTGAACGACGAAGAAGCAAACCACGTAAGAGACATACTCGAAGAGTATGTAGACTGTTTTCATCTACCCGGTGAAAATCTTAAATGTACAACCTCTGTTAAACATACCATCCCCACCACGGATAACGTGCCTATTCACGTGAAACAATATAGATATCTGCCGGTTCATAAGGAGGAAATTGACAAGCAAGTGGCAAAACTGCTGAAGGACGAAATAATAGTGCCATCAGCATCTCCGTATAATGCCTTCTTATGGATCGTCCCAAAGAAGTCCGCGGCAGACGGACGAAAGAAATGGAGGATGGTCATCGACTTCAGGAAACTAAACGAGAAGACAGTCGGAGACGCATACCCACTGCCTAACATTGTAGAAATATTAGATCAACTGGGCAGTGCAGAATACTTCTCGATATTCGATCTCGCACAGGGATTCCACCAGATATCCATGGCCCCTGAAGATCAAGAGAAGACCGCTTTTTCCACACCGTATGGTCACTACGAATACCAACGGATGCCATTCGGATTAAAAAACGCTCCAGCAACCTTCCAACGTCTAATGGACAACGTCCTCACAGGCTGACAAGGAAACGAGCTATTCGTTTACCTTGACGACATTGTGATATACGCAAGATTCTTGGAAGAACATAAGATAAAAATTAAGGAGCTAATGCTTAGGCTAAGAGAAGCGAATTTACAATTGCAGCTAGACAAATGCCAATTTTTGAGGCACAAAGTTGCTTATCTAGGACACATTATCGGAGCAGAAGGAGTAAAACCAGATCCCAACAAGATTATTGCAGTTCAACGTTTTCCAACACCAAGGAGCTACAAGAACATAAAACAATTTTTGGGTCTTGTAGGCTACTATCGTCGATTCATTAGAGATTTTTCAAAAATTACCAAACCACTAACAGATTTGCTAAAGAAAGACAAACCTTTTATATGGACATCCTTACAGGAGGAAGCATTTAAAATACTGACAAACAAACTATTGAAAGAACCCGTATTATAGTATCCAAATTTTAAAGAACCGTTTCTATTAACCACAGACGCCAGCGGATACGCTATAGGAGGCGTACTGAGTCAAGGACAAGCAGGAAAAGATTTACCCATCTCGTATATTTCCAGGACACTAAACGAAGCCGAGGGAAGATACTCGACCATAGAAAAAGAGTGCTTAGCCGTAGTCTACTGCGTAACATACTTCAGGCATTATTTGTACGGCAAGAGGTTTACGATACTCACGGATCATAAGCCATTGGTGTGGCTACACTCGGTTAAGGATCCCAGCTCCAGGCTCTGGAAATGGCGACTAAAGCTCTCGGAGTACGATTACGAAATACAGTATAAAACAGAAAAACTAACCTGGTAGCCGATGCACTTTCCAGAAATCCACCTATCCCTGACGCTTCCCTGCTTCCCTTAACAGAAGCCGACGACAATTCAGACGAGTTCCTTTTTTCATATCGAACGGCAACACAACAATCCAGACCGTCTATTACCTTTTCTTCCAACGACAATAATCTCGCACTAATTCTTAACCCTCAACAACAAATAACCATTAAAGATCTCACCGAGAACGCTTTACTGACTCCACCTGCAATTGCAAGAACGTCATCCCAAACCTTCTTTCCTAACACCGAGAATTCAAGCGAAGATCTAAACGAGCAAGCCCAAGAGCTTGATGAAAACGAATCAGAAACATCAGAGCAAAATTCAGAAAACGAAAGTGAAAATTATGAGTCAAGATCCCCACAACCTCGCTCTTCAGATGAAGAAAACACTTTCAAAATCAATGAAACACGGGACGCGCTACTCTCTCGGAAAGACAACCATGTCATTTTTACCTACACTCAGCGGATACCCCCACGATAAAGGCGCGAAGGATTATTCAACAGAAAATAAACTTCCCATGTATAAAGATTTAACCTTTACGAGAGTAAAAATAACGAACCTAAATAACGGGAAATACTTAATAGCCATCCCTATCAAACAAAATGAAAAAGCACCAATAGAACAAAATGACATTATAAACGGAATAAGGTCTTTAAGAGATGCCATAAACGAATTGAATTTAAAAACTATCAGTATCGCTCAAAACGACTTATACGACACAATACCTTGGAACTTCATGTACAAAAATTTAAAAAGATTCCTTTCGGATCTACCATTGGTAATAACTGTTTGCAAATCGTTAATAAGATGTCCCGGCCTAGAGGAAAAACCAAACATTATTTATGAAAAACACGCCACAAAAATTGGAGGACACAAGGGCGTAAATAAGACCTATCACAGAATCAGACAAAATTATTATTGGTCCACAATAAAAAAAATTATACAGGATTACATTAAAGGTTGTAGAAATTGCCAAATCAAGAAATTAACCAGAATAAAAACTAAACAACCGATGATGATCACCGATACCCCGGGAGACGCCTTCAACAAGGTATCGATGGACGTAGTGGGACCATTACCCACAACAACCCGAAATAATTCTTATATTCTGACCATTCAAGGCCTTCTAACAAAATATTCAATCGCTACTCCTATGGAGACAGCAGACTCTTTTTCAATCGCTAATGCCTTTATAAAGGATTTTATTTGCATATATGGAGCGCCAAGAGCCTTGTTAACCGATCAAGCACCAACCTTTTTCACTTCTTTAATGAGAACAATTGCCAGCGACTTCAAGATAAAACAATGCCGCACAACTGCTTATTATCCACAGTCGAACGGAACAATCGAACGTTCGCATCATGTATTGACAGAATATTTGAAGATGTATACCAGTAGAAATAGCGAATGGGATGAGCATATAAAACCTGCCATGTTCGCTTATAATACTTCAGTAACACATAATACATTCTTTTTTTTTTAGTGTAAATATGGGAAGCGAAAATTGTATTTTCTCGCTATATTTTTATAGACAAGTGATATAGAAAAAAAAATAAAAGGATTAATGTAAATATAATAGCTTTAAACAATCAATCTATATATCTGTTATGTAATATCTGTTTGTATATATGCATAAATTAGTACATACATCAAACAATATAGATAAAACACAACTCAAAACCTATATTAAAAAAAGAAAGGAAGCGTATCTCAATCAATAAATATTAAGATTTAGTTGAGGTTTGAGTGAGATAATTGTTACTTTATATTATATTAATTTAACCATGCAATCTTCTTCACTGTTTGTTTTAAAAGTTGAATAAAGTCAACGAGAGATAAAGAAAGAAAGAACATGGAATCCTTGTATATTACATTTGGCTTGTGAGAGATTGAAAATATCGCAAAATTTTATGCATGTATATAGTAATGTAACTAGAAATCAGAAATGAGAGTCCTCAGAATGTTTTTTTTTTTTTTTTTATCTTCGATTTCTCTAATATATATCGCATTCCTTTTTTTCCTTATTATTTATTATCTTCATTCCAAAGTAATTTCTAAGGTATGTTATGCTCTATGAAAGAGATAACTATTATTGATTTAATAGTGTATATTATGCGATATATGAACTATCTACTTAATGTTGCAGAGAGGGATTGAAATTGATTCTTACATATTATTAGAAAGAACATACGTTCTAATCGGTAAGCATATCGTCAATTAAGTGCACATAAATACTTTCTTTATATGATATAGATAGATTCTCTTTACCTTGTAAATTCTCTTTATCTTTGTACTGTACTATTATTGATACTGTTTCTCTGATGATCATCTATACTCTTGAAAAGAAGATCTTCCAATAAAGAAGTTACGGAATCAAAGATATCCACATCTCGTTGTCGATGCTTCTCAATAGAGTGAACACTTTTCGGATCTAAATCAGAGACTTTGACACTGCTTAAAAAAGACAGTTGCTCCGAAAGCTTGATCGTATTTTCCACGGGCACTTTTGATAAATTTTCCCTGCGTAAGAGAAAAAACACAATCATTAGAAAACTCAATACATCTAATTATCTGACTCGCGCGTCATGTTTTCCGAGTAATTTTATACATTTTATAAACTAATTATATCACTTGGGATCAAATAATCATAAATAAACGAAGCAGTTGCTCATCGTAATACCGCGTATTGGGCAATTGTTATACGATTTGAATAACAGTTATAAAGAATAATTAACTAGAAAGCATTTTCCCCCTCACAGAAACTATTGTATTAACTCAATTTTATTATCAGTTTTACCTTTGTTAGAAAATTTATGCAATTGTCGGGCGCTTTGAACACGAGGTGAAAATACGGGCTATTGTTTCGAACAATGTACTTACGGAAGCAATTCGCGGAAGGTCATTAATATCGAGCAATCTCTGGCGGTGGCGAATAAAAGATAATTTCGCAACGTCGATAAATGTTTGGCGATAATCTGCATATTTGCCTTTTGCTCGTTATCGTCGTCGTTAGTTTCCTGATTATGCAAACTTGTGTTTCCATAAAATAACCGGCACGAATCTAGGTTGGCACTAATTTCTGTTTGCGACGCGAAATCGCTATTTACGACTATTTTCTTGACATTAGTAGATAAGATACATTCCGAACTGGCATTATGGTTTCCGTTAGAATTGTTATCGTATTCTCTTGCAACGATGCTCTCAAAAAGCTTTTCGGAGTTGATTTCTTTTATGTCTTTCGCCTTCTGAAACAGAGAAACATTATATACTGTATTCGTGCATTCTGATAAATTTCGCGGTTAAAATATGATATTACATACCGTAAGTTTACCGGGTAAAGCGCGAGAGATTGTGCTGGCGTGATTCTCTTCTTGTAATTTCATCAAATCGGAGTATATCATATCGTCATTCAGCAACGATGCAAAGTCGGAGTAAATGCCGTAAATGTAATTGGTATTCACATAAGACAATCGCTGCATGTTCCGAATTCGCTCCAGCACCGAGTTTCTCGGCAACTCGTCGCCAACAAAATTACAATTCTGCGATACAAAAAGCAAAAATTACACACACAGTTAAGGTATTATAGTTGTTATTTCGATAAATCATGTATTTTCTTTAGTACAAAAAAAAACCTGCCTTTCCCGCGAGACGAAGACAGCGTTCGGCTCTCGCGATCGCGTCCGGTTCGGCGCAAAACGTTGGAGCTTGATTCGCGGATTGGGGAAAATTACATGGACAGCAAGCAGTGGATGATTCTTCCAGTTGCTCTTGTGTAAAAGGCAACGTAAGGGCGGCATACACCAAACTACAAAACTCGTCGACGTTCGAGCGTCGAGCTCGCCCGCTGCTCGTCGTCGTAGCATTCCGAAACCATTCGTTCAGCACGTCCTCGAGATCGTTCGGTGACGACTCTTGATTATAAACGACGATGCCGTTCTTAAAGATTCTCAGATTATTTTGCGGTGACCTTAGAAGCTCCTTCACAACGGTTTTCATACGCGCTTTCACTCCGGAAAACAGTTCGAACGGGCAGTAATTGCTACAAGCGGCGATGTCACCTTTACGCAGCTAAAAAAATTTACATTCTTCATTTCAGCATCTCATCGTTTCAATGTCACAATTTATGCGAGTTTTATTACTTGTACAAAAATTCACCAAAAGATTCAATATTTACCTTGGCATACTGGTTGAGGCAATACGGACATCCGGGAAATTGCCGCTCTGCCTTTTGCAAGTATCCCTGTTTCGGCTTTATCTCCACGCAGAACGTCGAACGGCCTCGAAATACGGTTTGATCGATTTCCAACCGCAAATCCAGAAACGTGTAATCCGGAAACTTTGTGGCATATGTGTCTGTGATTACCTTATGCCGGCGTTTCTCTGCAACAAACGAATGCGATAAATATTTCGTATTATTTTTTTTTTCATATTTTTCNATTTATTTTCAACGCATTCTTTTATCGCACCGCTTTTACAAGAGAGTACGACGGAGAAATAGATTAGAAATATCTCCCAGAATAGCCAAATTTTTCTCGCTCAATAAATATGAAAAATCAGCGCAAAATGCGTATGTACACGCGTATATAAATACGATCGTAAAACTCGACTTTCGAAAATAAATCTCCTTTACCGGATTATGTCGAAGAATAATACCAAAGACAAGACGCGTAGGTGTGAAACGTTCTACGATTCGCGTAATACAAAAATAGAAGAAAGTCACGCGAGTCACCGCAATGCCGAGAGAGAGAGAGAGAGAGCCGAAAGTAAATATTTATAAATGTTTTGGTTGTACAATAGTAGCAAAAAACTGTCAAAATATAAAAAAAAATTTTCTTATATTTATACTGTTAGAAAAATCAAATAAATAAATCCGGATTACAAAAAGAATTAAAGTATCACAAAATAATATGGTTTATAATGTTTTCATAAATGAAAATAATTGTAATTATATTTTTTCTAATTTATGACAAAACTTTTAATTGTAAATATCTCTTGAAATCAATTGCAAGAAACAAAAAAAAAACGAGTAATTTACAGAAAGATTTCGGGTTACAATAAGTATTTTTCTACAATTTTTAGCAAATAATTTTTAAACGAGTAAATGGATCTAAATCAAGTTTTACACAAATATTTATTAAAGTTTCCTTAATATATGTGAAAATTTTTATTTTGCTGGTAATGTTTTTTCCTTGTCAAATTTATCAATAAATACTACAATACGCGATTTTCCATAGAAATCAATACTAACTTAAACTTAAATAATTTTCAAACCGTTAAGAGAATTGTGCTCAAGGTTTTGCACAGATACTCAGAAGAAATAGTAGGACAGTCTACAGAATTGTCATGCTTTTGTCAATGCTTTGACATATGACACATGACATTTGACATATGACACATACATCCTTAACGAATATTGATAGTCGAATTTGTTCGTAGAATATAATAACGCGACAAATATAGATGCTGCAAAGAATTCGTGACTTTTATTACATCGCTCGCAATGAAAGCCGTTAATTGGATAAGTAATAATAAATAAATAAATAAATAAATAAATAAAAAAAGCAAGAATAGAAAATGTAAAGGAATAAAGTCCGTAAATTATAACGAACATAATCTGTGGATGACTAAAACAGCGATTGACAAAGATACGATATTTTCTGTGATAAAGGTATCAAAAGATATCCAAGTATCATAAAAGCAAAGAATCGAAACACCACGTGTCTTTTTTATGTATTGCCTTTCCTCGTAACTTACTTGATAGATGCATTAGATATAACAGTAATCAAAGTACAATAAAATGCATTAAAGATGCTCCGTCACAATATTTCAAGAAGCTACGAGAAAATTGTCGTTCGGCGCCTTATTATCAGAAAAACACTCTCGATATAGGTATTGAGACTCGAGATAAGATGAAGCACGGAGCCACATGTCGAGCGATACGAGTCTAAACACAGTAATCTCTCGTCTCGGACAATTGCGCGACGATCATTTATCGAACGTAGCATAAATTAATGAGCCCACGATTAAACTTCCCCTACGCGCATTTACATCCGTCCGAAACACAAGCCGCCCTAAGATATCGCCACAATTAAACGTGTCAAACAAAAGTTGCCTCGTTATCTCGCTTATCCGTCGTCGGCGAGATATTCGGATGGCATCCCAAAATTGTACTCCATTAGTCACTATCTCGTATTCTTGCAAGAAGGAATGTTAACGGCTGGATATATAAATCGCGTAGTTGCATCGTAAAAAAATGTGTCGCTGAGAAAAAAATTTTTACGAATTTAAGAATGTTAGAGAATATTTTTAAAAATTTTTTCTTACGTTTATACTGTTTGAAAAATCAAATAAGTAAATCCAGATTATAAAAAGAATTAAAGTATCACAAAATAATATGGTTTTTAACGTCTTCGTAAAAGAAAATAGTTGTAATTAATATTTTTTCTAATTTATGATAAAAACTTTTGATCGTGAATATCCCCTGAAATCAATTGCAAGAAAAAGAAAAAAAAATGAGTAATTTACAGAAAGATTTTGGGTTGCAAAAAGTATTTTTCTACAATTTTTAATAAATAATTTTTAAACAAGTAAGTGAATCTAAATCAAGTTTTGCACAAATATTTATTAGTTTTCTTAATATATGTGAAAATTTTTATTTCGCTGGAAATATGTCTTTTCCTTTTTTTTTGTCAATAAGTACTACGCAATTTTCCATAAAAATCAATATTAATTTTAAACTTAAATAATTTCCAAACTGTTCAGAAAATTGTGCTCAGGTTTTGCATAGATAGAAATTCAAGAGAAATAGTCTTTTTATGAAATTTTCATGCTTTTATCAATGTTTTGACATATGATATATACATCCTTAAACGAGTCTCTTTAATCACGATGATCGCCGATTTGCTGATATCGATTTGTCGATCGCTGAAAAATTAAAGGTGAATAAAAAGAGAGAAAATTTTTAAAAATTATATAAATGATCTGTTTTTATTCAAAAATCGCGTTGAACATTTTTTCATATGTCAAATACACCCGATGGCAAAAATTTCTCTTTGCGTGACGAGGTGAAACGAGAGATGTCCGCGTCAAAGAATAATGACATATGGTAATTTTGCTAAATGCCGTGCGCGCGTTTCAATTTCGTGCATCAAATTGTTGATCGATCACGCGTGTTTCCTTTTTCTCTTCAACGGAGAAAAAGCTACGTATTCGACTGATATTAGTAAACGTAACTCTTTTTCAAAGCTATTTCCTGCTTCAAGTAATTTTATGCGCTGTACATTTATTAATATTAATATCGATATTAATATAAAAATTGTCAATAATTTAAAGAAGCTTTAAATAAAAAATCTTTGCCTAGCTGTTCTCGCCAAATGCACACATCTTGAGTATTAAATTATGTCTATAATGTAAAGTTATGTCTTTTTAAGGTGCAATTTACGCGCGTTAAAGAGGTCAATTACTCCGACCAGCCATTTTCGTTTAACCTTATGCTACGTCCTTTTCAGCCTACGTCAGTATTGTTGACTATATCGAGAGGAGACCGATTACATCATACTGTATCAACGTTCTACGCGGAAAATGTGATGGATATTCGAAATATTTTCACGCCCAGATATAACATTATACATTTCCGCGTCATTAATTCTCGTTGTCTGTTTCTCATTATCAAGTCGAAGGCAAACCACTCGATAGTATTTATAAATAAAATAATTCTGAGAGGCGAATAACGATACCATTCAATTATACACTTTTGATCGAGATCTCGATATTTGTTACACTTTTATTTTATATTATCTCACGTCTAACTGGTTCTAAATATGAATAAACATGTGTTGATTGGACGTTACATTTTTTAGTCCTGAATTATTATTATAGGACTATACCAGGACGAGCGGCAAGTACATAGCAGGCGATATCAACGGCGGCTATGCAGAACCGTGTAGGTTTACACAGTCTCTGTTTACACATTCCTCGTTTCAGGCTTTGAAAATAAACATTCGATATACGGCCGTTCAGTCGCAAAAATATCCTGCGACTGACGTGGGTCGATCTCTCTGAAAATAGGTGATATCGAGGACTGCCCTCGGAGGCGAGAGGTGTGGGCGATAAAAAAAAAAAAAAGAACAATAAACAAGAAGAAAAAATTCCACAAGGTTGCGACAACTGCAACTCGTTGCATTAACGAGCGGCTATGCAGCAGCGACTGTGTTAAAGGTTTACACAGTCGCGGACCGATAAAAGCGAGGCGTTACAATGTTAAAATGAATTGCAAAGAATATAAGATAATTGCATTATATTTCACAACATTAACATATTAATTGCTTCGTCGCGAGAAAATATAAGGCCAGCTTGCGTGTATATACAAGGTGTCTTGTAACAACGTTTAAGTGTAAATTCTTGAGATCATTTTAATGATTTTCGAGGCATCAATAATTTCCATGTTAAAAGCGATTCAAAAAGAAGAGCTTTTTACAAACTAAAATTTAGAGAGAGTTAAAACTACATTCTTTAATTAATTTCAGATAGAGTTTATTTTAATAGAGAGAGAGAATTTTAATTTAAGACTTACAAAGATATATGATGGAAAAAATTGGAAACTTGCAAAAAAAAAAAGATGTTTCTCGATATTTTTGCTGAGAAAAAAATCATCCTAAAATGATCTCAAGAATTTACCCTTAAACGTTGTTACCGTCTTTAAGGGACACCCCGTATAACGAGTCATCATATTTTCATACATTCATTTAATATATTTAATATATCATTAATATATTCATTTAATATATCTTTTTCTCGAATTTTCGTCGCATATTTTCCAGACAGTAAGACAGGAAGGGACGGCCGATCGAGCCGTTAATTAGGTATTAACGAAAGCGACCGCGGGAAGCGAATCACAGTGACGATGCACACGTGATTCGGTTTTCCACGGGCGCATTAGATCAATCTGGCGTGTTATTAGAGGAAACGACGACGCACCACCGCCGATCAGCTTCGCCGACGATCAAATTGACGGCGAAATTGCCGCTATCGGCGGCGAATTTTTCTCGTCTCCACGTCGTTCGGTGATATAACGCACACGCACACGGGAACGTGCGTTACAAGGTACGATACGACGGGAAATCGATACCGCCATATCGCGCGAGTGCGCAATATCGTCGGTGATAACAGCACGCGATTTTCCAGCTTGTAATGTGACGCGGCTTTTAAATAAAAATATATCGACAGTCGCGCGAGAGTTTCACAATGTGTATATAAAGGCCAACGATAACCACCTGCAAATAGTTACCCCAAGGCTTTTGCGTTATATCGGAGGACGTTGTACGCGACTTGATTTCTATTAAACTTTCGACATATTTGTCAGGAGAGTATAACGGTGATGC